TTTCTGCCTGCATGTGAACTTGTATAAGAAATAAAGGAGTGACATTGTTAACACACAGCTTGACACAGTCCTCTAAATCGACTGAGCTCTGTTAAACGGTACCTCTGGGAATTAACAACATCTAAATCGATACATTGTCTGTTCCTGCTTTTTCACTCGGCAGCCCCCTTTTTATCTCTTAAATGGCAACCGAGGTGCATTTAATAAGCCTTCCGTGGGCCAATTAAAGTAGGTGATGGTCCATTTCTCCCTTCAGTCCCTCCAAAGGCCCCGCCGCCCAGAGCAGCCGCAGCGGACAAAAGACAGCGGCTGATGGGCTCAAACAGCATCTTAAATATGGCAGGGGGAATTCACTGAACCCGCCTCGCTCTTTGTATCGCCTATCCCATAAAATGGTTAACTGGTTAATTTGCCCTCCATTTTGAAAGGCAACATTCTCCCCCCAAAACAAAGTAATTCAACCCCTCCTAAAATGAGGTTAGGCCTATACAATGACAGTGGATCGGATCCAACAGAAAGCCTCTGTCTGCCATTGACAACATGCATTTATGGACTCTGGTCTGTAGAAACAATGTTGTATGCTGATTATTTAAAATTATTGTTTTGCTTGCTAAATGTCTATTCTATGTTGTCATACGTTAAGATACATTGTTTTTATACCAGCTTGATTCAAAATGCATCCTTACGCAAGAAGCCACGTTTATGACCAAAAGTAAAAATATCACATCAAGTCCACCAGCCATAATGGGATATATATTTTTAAATGACTAAATAATTAAGTGCAAATAGGCCAATTCTAATGGCAATAATATGACACAACTCACCAAAAAGCAATATATCAATTTCAAAATAAAATGAGCGCACTGCCCAGGTCAAAGAAAACAGCAACATGTGTTTAATGTTAATAAAATAAAAAATCTTACCTGAGTTTCTGTGAGGCTAAGGGTGTGGGCGAGCTGTTTTCTTTCTGCTCCCACCACGTAATGGTTTTTCTCAAACGCGTGTTCGAGTCGCAGGAGTTGCGAAGGTGAAAAAGCTGTCCGGATTCTTTTTGGCTTTCTTGCCAGCGCGTTGTGCAAAAGGAAGCTCTCTGGGCTCGTTTCATTACCTGGAAACGAGCACAAAACGAGGATCAGTCATGACCTTTCTTTTATTCTGTAAGATATTAACATGTCCATAACAAGCAGGCCTGCGCACAGCGAGGAAACAATAGTGTACAGAGGGCAGACTGGAAATACGGCATGATAACAATACATGAGAAGGAGCTGGATATACGTATTAACTTGAGATCATTTATCCAACACATATGCTATTTTAAATTATTTCCTATTGTTGACCTTTTTCATTTAAAATGTGTGAGACACAGCAGGAAGTAAAGGGATAAAGAAACACAAAGCAGGGGTGTAATCCTGGGCCTATAATTAAATTATCTCAAAAATAGCCTATAAACACTATAACAGGTAAAATGGAAGCAGCATGAACACTTTCAAATAAACAGCAGCTAAAAACACTTTGTAGGCCTACATTAATTTAGAATGCATTTCTTTAAATTGTGTTAATTTTACTTTTATTTGTCAGGAAAAAAAAATACTCTCGAATATAAATACCATAAAATGAGCGAACAAAATCATTAAATAATAAACACATTTTCCTAGTATACAAATGCAAGGGGCCAAGTCAACTCAGTTAATAAAATCCAAATTACCCAAAGATTTTACTCACGTCAGCCTGAAATAATTAGCATAGATTAAATAAATAACAACCCTAATTGCTGCATTTTGTATTTTTATTTAAAATGTGAGTTAAGCGATTGCATAAACTGCCGAGCAACGAGTTGCATTAGTTTCGTTTTTACGCATGAATAAGATCATATATCCAATGCTAAAAAATAACCCCCACTACAGTACAAGTCACCATTTCTAGTAATCTTTTTTTAGACCTGAATAGTCTCTCTAAACAGCTTAAGAAGCAACGGCCACGTTTCTTTTTACATTTTCCTCGAGATTTCCCTTTATTTAAATAAAGAAATCCACTACAGGGTCATGTTCTTAGCGAAATTATCCGGTAAATACGTGTCATATTTTGGCCTGAAATTTGGACATGACATGCTGAAAAACTGCTCTCTATAGCTTTACATTGATTCCTTATATGCTGTCTGTATTCGATGGAGAGAAGGTAATCAATCCCCTGCCGATCGTGCGTAAAAAGCCAAACGAAGCATTTGGATAACTTACCTTGAAATCTGTGACCCAAGTATCTATATCTGTGTAATAACCAGGGGTAGAAAGTTGAGGGGTCCCTTTGCTGGCTGGCAAAAAGAGGGTGCGGACTGTGTGCAGAGGAAAGCGGGTGAGCGGACATAGCGTGCGGCGGGGCCACCGAATGCATCGGGGCGCCAGAGTTCTGCTGATGAGAGACCGCCTCCGCAAACACCAAGTCCGGGTTCGAGTAGACGCCCCTGCCGCCGGAGTGGAAGCCGTTGAGGAAGGGGTTCATCTGGCCGGAGTTTGCATAGCTGAGTGCCGCTGGCCGGATGGGCTCCTCGGTGCGGGACAGCGGTAGAGGATTATCCTTCGCCACTAAAGACTCTATCGTAAAACACCTCTTGGGTGTAGGCTGAAACATTGTCTGATAGTCCAGGTTCCCCAGTTTAAGGTGAAGCTGTGGTAGACGCTCTCGCTTTAAAAAATACTCCACACCCAAGGAAGGAGGAAAGTTTTCTGCGCAGTAAATAAGTTTGCAGTGTCGAGAAAGCCACAAAATAAAAAGAGCTCGGCTACTCCCAGACTAATCCATGGATATGATCGTTTTCCTCGCCGGGTTCGTGCAGGCAGATTTGTTAGTTCATGAGCCTAATTAGCGCTGCAGTCCCATAAACAGCTTCCTCTGAAGGCTGTAATGGCATGGTGATTGGTCGCTGCCACTGCTGCTCGCCTTAAGGTGGAGAAGGGGAAGACGCTTAAAAAGTGCGTCAATGGGAAGCAGGGGCGCGGAGAGGCGGACTCGAACGCGCAACACGGAACGGATTCGTCCAGAGTAGCCCCCCCACACGCGCGCACGCACTTACTCACGCGCACATATCTCCAGGACATTTAACACACTCATCTGGACCAGTAAAGCTTAAGGTAGCCTGCTTATTTGCATTTAATGGCTATGACAGCTTCAAACTGATTTTTTTGTTAGGGGTGGGTGTGCGTGTAGTGTTAGTATTAGCAAGTGATTACTTATAATTATGCACAACAATGTTGCGCAAACATCAAATCAACTCTATTAAAGTCGATGCTGCGTGCTCGGATAATACTCAACAGCAGCTGTTTAATTGGCCTTCATTTATTTCTCCATTTTTAACTATATTTCTGTATTTAATTCTTGTTTGGTCCGAGCTCATTTTAATTTCTTCAGATACTATTAGTACGATTCAAATTAAAGAATGCACTTAATTTCTGCTGGGTGTGATCTCTGGTATACTTTATATTTCGAGCTTTTGTCAATAAAACAGGATAGTGTCAGTCTTCAAATGTCAGTAACACCTTCCCACTTATGAGTCGCTGGTTGCCGTTCAGTGTTTTTGAATGAAAACGCTCAGGTGTTTTTTGGAGGGGCTACCTGTGACTGCAGCTGTCCCCCTGAGAGCAGCACGAGGCTGCAGCCATGGCCGCGCGCCGAGGGCCTCACAAAGACATGAAAAACATTAATAACACGCACAGTTAGACATAAGGCTGCTCATATAAAACCAAAAAACACTAATAATTGAAAGATGCAGCAATAACAATGAAAAAAAAAACGTATTGTGATTAACATTGTATTTATTTATTTTTGAATATATATATTCTTTCAGTTTGTATAGCTTGGTTGCGTGTTTCTTGAGTGTTGGTGGGGATCTTGAAATGCATTTAGAAGGACTTCAGATGCAAGAAAGTTGAAGTCGCAGTCAAAGTAAACATGTTATTTAAGTATGGCATTATTATTGTTGTTATGACTAATAGGACACACTTGTTCATATACAGCTTATGGAGCAGTCGGTTTATTTGTGCGGCCAGGTTAAAGGTCTGTGTAGAATACAATAGGCTGTGAACCAAAGCCTCAACAGCTGTAGGCCTGCATCACATAATACAACTGAATGGACATTGTTAAAGTGTGTCATATTCAATTGTAATTATCAGGAATCAAGCAGTTTGGATGTTTTATTTTCTTTAGTGAATTTACAAAGGTGCCTTTTTTATATATCAACATCGTACCAAATAAATGTCAATGTCTTACACATGACACACATTTTTATTATCTTGATGATTATTTTATCTATTATTAGTAGTAACATTATTCTATACAACGCTTTAAAATGGGGCAGGTCAGCCACATTCAAAGCGATCAGTTGTGACGGAATATTTAGTTTTTGTTCAGTATGGTTGAAAAAATTTTTAAACAACTCTAACATGATGTTATTGGTTTTCTAAGTGGCTGACTCTGACCGCTGCATGCATGTTCATATTTTCGGAGTTTTCCTGAGTTAGCTGCTGATCGTGGACATGAACCAGAGCAGCTCTGACAGGGAGACGCGTGTCCTCTGCACGGAGCTTTACCGACCTCTAGTGGTCAGTTACATAATGGTGTATACGATGGAACCAAAACGGGGCTTGAAGAGCTTTAGGGTAACTTAAAATGATGAAGGGCCAGCAAGTCCACAACATGATGAATAGTTTAGTTTTACTGGTGTTGCACTAGGAAGAAGTTAGGTCAGGTGGATCTAATACTTCAGCTGCTGGGATCCAAGATGTTGAAGTGGACACCTATTTCCAAGTCAAGTCGTACTTTCACAATTTAGTTTTTACAGAGGTACTTAAAATGAATAATAGCATTAATACTTCTACTTTATAAGGTTAGGTTAATCCTCCTACCCCACGTAGGGAACTGTGACATGTTTGTACACTAGACACTAAAATAATAAGTGTGATGCTATCTTTATAGGTGATATATCATTTAAGATGAAATGAACAATTAGGTGGTGAGCAAACATCTTTATTAATAAAGGCTTTAACTGTTGACATGCAACCTGGTTGGGTACCGTTGGTTGCAGAGATAAAACCACACACTGGATATCAGGCGAGATCAATTGAATGCATGCACATCAAGTGTAAATGTATATAGTTCTTGAACAGGTTAAGAAGCATCTGAAACATTGCATGAAGAGCAGAGATCACTAAAGCATTTGACCAACTCTTGTCATTGCCTTTACAGGGAGTTGTGGATCTGTGGCATATATCATATCATATCATAATATATCATAACATATATCATATCATATTATCTATGCAATGGCAATTATTTAAAAAGAGGCAGTTGGTGATGCTCTGAATTTTCATAGAAAGTTGTTGCAGTTAATTATGTTATCAGTATAGTTAGATTTACTTCTTCATGTAAGGTAATAATACTCCTAACCACTGGGGGCAGCTTTGCTTACTCTGATGATTTGCATGAGGCCAAAGTGCACACACAAGTTCATTGGTTGATGTTGTTCTGGCTGGTGGGAGCCTCTGTTTCAAACAACTGTAAAGAAATGGAGATAAAAGAAAAAAAATTCCCCAGGAAAACTATTGTCTATAATTATTCAATTCAAAGTAATAACGCACATGAGTATTAGAATTGTGTGGCCATTAATTTATAACTGGCTGATGGGAATCCAAATTTATTTTTCAGAACCAATTTCATTGAGCCAATTGGATGCAGATGTTGCTCAGCGGCGGACAGTGGTCCAGCCGTCATCATCCGTCTCGTCCTTGATGCGGCGAGCGTTGGCTTTTTCTTCCTCGGTCTCACCCTCTTTGGGACGAACCTCCCGCTTCTCCTCGCCTCCACGACGCCAAGAAGCTCCTTACGGAAACAAGGACGCTCATTAGGAGAGGTTTCAACAGAGACATTTTGATATTACAAGCAAGACTCTTCCTCAAACACAGGCTCTAGCAGAAATTAGGGTAAAAGCGACCTCTGCTGGTTGAACTCAACACTGCTACATAGGTCAACAAGACTTCACATCTTTTAAGGAAAACAAATGAGGCAGCAAAGCTGTATCCCCGATGTTCATGCAGCGGTTACATTTTGAAATCAAACTGCTTACCATCCTCTGTTTCTCTGGGTGGGGCTCTGACTTCACGCTCATCCCGGCTCTCTCTGATCGGACGCTCGATCTGACGCTCGGCAGGACGCTCGATCTGACGTTCGGCTGGACGCTCGGCAGGACGCTCGGCAGGACGCTCGGCAGGACGCTCGATCTGACGCTCGGCAGGACGCTCGATCTGACGCTCGGCAGGACGCTCGATCTGACGCTCGGCAGGACGCTCGATCTGACGCTCGGCAGGACGCTCGATCTGACGCTCCACACGCGGACGCTCGATCTGACGCTCCTCACGCCCTCCTCGACGATCATCACTGTCAGCGGTCTCTTTTCGAGAGTCTCTCCAGCTGCTTCCTCCTTCCTCTGTGCCGGGTCTCCTCCAGACACTCTCCTCTCTGTGAATAGATTGGGAAACTAATTAACACAACTCCTTGCAAAAAACGTAGTCATGATGTCCTCCGCATTGTTACAAAAAGGAATAAGTCTGTGAGGCTCACTTGACTGGACGCCGCTCGCTTGGTTTGGGCTCTTCTTCAGTATCATCGTCTTTCTCCCTGGACTTGTCCCTTGGAGGACCCCAGCTGTCCTCGCGAGCCTTCTCTCGCTCACGCCAACCACCTGCAACACATGCATTTTCTCATCATCCTGCTAGTTAACTAAGACAGCTCTTTCAGTTATTACCAGCTGAAAGGCCACAGGCTTACCAGGCCTGACCAAGGACTTCCGTGCTTTGTCATCCTCACCACGACGTGGAGCCTCTTCAACGCCTCTCTTTCCACCCTTCTCTTCATCATCTCCTCCTCCTCTCCTGGGACCCCAGGTGTCATCCGTGCCTCTGCGAGAACTTCTGTCGTCATCAAAGCCACGCCTCGGGGCACGGTCGTCATCGAAAGCACGCCTCGGGGCACGGTCCTCCTCGAAACCTCTACGTGTACCACGGTCATCGTCGAAGCCTCTGCGTATTGGGCGGTCCTCATTTTCGCCACGGCGGGGGGCTCTGTCGTCATCGAAGCCCCCCCGACGGGGTCCTCTGTCTTCTCCATCCCTGCGGAAACCTTCCGCTCGCCTGACAGGAGCTTCTCTTTCCTCGGTGTCATCCTCCTGTCTCTTTTCCCTGGAGAGCAAAGGTACTGTTAGGGGAGCCTTTTTCCTAATGGTGTTAAAACCAACAGGCACCAACACCTACTTGTCAGGCAAAGCCGTGCGCTTCCTCCACCCTCCTCCTCCTTCCTCCTTCTCAGTGTCCTTTGCAACCTCCTTTTCACTCCAATCCTGTATAAGCAAAACATATCGATCAACACACATTGTGTTATTACAGCACCATCACTTTTTTTTGGCCTGTTGTCCATTATTTAGCACTCAGTTATTCACTCTTGACATGATAGATTTGTGCTCCTTTCCATCATCTAAACTGACAAACTATAATGATAAATTAAAGGTGGATCTCATTAACTAGCAACATGTATACACAGGTGTGACCTTACCTCATTTTATATATTTGACTGATTGAAAGCCATTCATGATGCAGTAAAATAAAGTCAAATTTAGTTTTTGAAAAAACTTTATTTGAATTGTATCTCTATTCCAGGCACTATGGTCGCGATTTACCTTGGTAACATAGCATGATAAACGTATAGAGAAATAACATAGAATTCCAACTGCTCTTGTCAGTAACTGTAGGCTCTGACCATGAGGCAAGAAATAAGTGCTAATCTATTTGTACCTTGGGTTTCTCCTCCGCTGGGACCCGTTTCTCTTCGTCACGACGGCGTTCCCGCTCCTCGATCTCCTGTTGACGAGCGCGCTGCTTTCGTTCCTGCTCCTCGAGTTTGCGCAGACGCTCCTGGTACTCCCGATCCTCCTCCTCTCGCTGCTCGTGTTCAATGCGTTCAGCCTCCTCACGCTCTGCAAGAGAAGAAGAAAACTATGTGTTCAAACCTTTACAAAATGACAGCATTAACACTAGAACCGCCAGAGGTCGCTGTATACCTAAAGCCGCCAACGGATAAAATGTACCCGCTATTGATTTTCAAGGTACAATGTTCTTTTATTTATCACACAGAACTAGAGATGTCCCGATCCGATCACGTGATCGGGGCGGATCATGTGATTTTCAAAAGATCGGAATCGGGAGAAAAAGATCGGGGATCGGGGATTTTTTAAAAATAAATTATTTTTATTATTTTATTTAATGTTACAAAACAAAAATGACCATGTTCACGTCTTAAAGTCATCCTGAGGCCTTAGTTTTGGTTTATAATTACACATCATGTATGTGTTGCTTCTTTTGGGCACTCTGTTGCCAGATTTGAGAGAAATAAGCAACCAAGACCTGGTTGCTTATTTCTCTCAAATCTGGCAACAGAGTGGGAATGGCGCAGTGTCTAATAGTAGCAGTAAGCTAACGAGAGGCTACATTCAGCTGGTGACTCCGGAGAGAGAATATGTCAGGAGTTTGGAAGTATTTTAAAAAGCGAAAGCGAAGGCAGTGTAACAGCCATATGCAATTTTTGCAAGGCGGAGGTTCCGCGTGGTGGAAAGAACAGAGCTACGTTCAACACGACCAATATAATACGCCACCTGAGAAACAAACACCACCAAGAACACAACGAATACAAAGCGGCCACTCAGGTAACGGCACTGAAACAACAAATATAAAAAATAACCTTAACTTGAATGCTTTTTTCCTTTTTTTTCTCTTAATGCATTGCATAAAGATCGGATCGGGAAAAATCGGTATCGGCAGATTGTCAAAATCAAATGATCGGAACCGGATCGGGAGCAAAAAAAGGTGATCGGGACATTTCTATACACAACAGTGAGTTTTGATCGCACAGGGATGAAAATTATACCAATATAATCTGTGGACTCTCAGCTTTTCATATGATATAGTTTGTGCAGATAGCATGAAGTATAAAATATCGCTACCAGTGCTGATTTAAACGCTTGGTGTTAGACTTGTGTTTTGTTAAGGTACAAATCTCTCTATCCATCTATAACTATCTGTAATGTTCTATGGACATATAATTGTCTACATAAACAGACAACGCGGACTACTTCCATCTTTATTCAACTGGCACGTAACCTGCACACATGCATTACGTCCTCAACGTGAGCTCAGTCATCCAAGATCTTGTATTCTCCAAGATGTTA